TTTTTTGGAAGGTTTTTGATCACTGCTTCAATTTCATTACTGGTTATTGGCCTATTCAGGTTGTCAGTTTCTTCCTGTTTCAGTCTTGGGAGTTTATAGGTTTCCAGGAAGGCATCCATTACTTCCACATTGCTCAATTTAATTGGCATATAGTTGTTGATAATAATTTCTAATAATTGTTTGTTTCCTTGGTGTTAGTCGTGATCTCTCCCATTTCATTAATAATTTTATTAATTTGTGTCCTTTCTCTTTTATTTTGGGTAAGTCTGGCCAGTGGTTTATCGATCTTATTAATTCTTTGATAGAACCAGCTTCTAATTTTGTTGATCTGATCTACTGTGTTTCTGGTTTCTAATTCATTGATCTCTGCTTTAATCTTTACTTCTCTTCTAATGTGTGGCTTAGGCATCATTTTTTGCTTTTTCTCTAGTTCTTTAAGGTGTAGAGTTAGCTGGTGAATTTGGGATTTTTCTGTTTTTTTGAGTGAGGCTTGGTTGGCTGTGTATTTCCCCCTTAGGACTGCCTTTGCAGTATCCTGTAGGTTTTGGACTGATGTATTTTTGTTCTCATTGATTTCCATGAATTGTTTAAGTTCTTCTTTGATTTTTTGTTTGACCCAAACATATTGAGCAGTGTGGTCTTAAGCTTCCGAGTGTTTGAATTTCTTCCAAATTTTTTCTTTTGATTGAGTTCCAGTTTTAAAGCATTATGGTCTGAGAATATGCAGGGAATAATCTCAGTCTTTTGGTATTGGTTGAGACCTGATTGGTGACCCAGTATGTGGTCTATTCTGGAGAAAGTTCCATGTGCACTCGAGAAGAATGAGTATTCTGTTGTTTTAGGGTGGAATGTTATGAGGTCCATGTGGTCCAGTGTGTCATTCAAAGCTCTTGTTTCTTTGTTGATTTTCTGCTTAGATGATCTGTCTGTTGCTGAGAGTGGATTATTGGGGTCTCCTACAATTAACGTACTGTTATCAATATGACTCTTTATTTTGATTAACAGTTGGCTTATGTAGATGGCTGCTCCCATGTTGGGGGAGTAGATATTTACAATTGTTAGATCTTCTTGTTGGATAGACCCTTTAAGAAGGATATAGTGTCCTTCTCCATCTCTAACTACAGTCTTTAGCTTAAAATCTAATTTGTCTGATATAAGATTGCTACCCCAGATTTTTTTGATGTCCGTTAACATGGAAGATGAATCTCCATCCCTTCACTTTCAGTCTGGATGTATCTTTAGGATGTAACAGAATGAGTCTGTTGTAGACAGCATGTGGATGGGTCCTGTCTTTTTATCCAATCTGCAACCCTGTTCTGTTTTATGGGAGCATTTAGGCCATTCACGTTGAGAGTGATTATTGAAAGATATGAATTTATTGTCATCTTGTTTCCTGTGAAGACTTTGTTTCTATAGATTGTATCTGTAAATTTCTGTTGTATATCACTCTTGGGGTCTTTCTCCTTTTATAGAACTCCCCTTAATACTTCTTGCAGGGTCAGCTTAGTGGTCACATATTCTTTCAGTTTCTGCTGTTTTTGGAAGCTCTGCATCTCTCCATCCATTCTAAATGACAGCCTTGCCAGATAAAGTATTTTTGGCTGCATGTTCTTCTTGTTTTGTACCCTGAATATGTCTTGGCAGCCCTTTCTGGCTTGCCAGGTCTCTGTGGATAGGCCTGAAGTTATTCTGATGTTCCTCCCTCTGTACATAAGAAATCTCTTCCCCCTAACTGCCCTTAAGATGGTTTCCTTGGTTCTAAGATTTGCGAGTTTTACTCTTACATGGAGGGGCGTTGGCCTGTTTTCCTTCATCTTGGGAGAGGTCCTCTCTGTCTCTAGGACACGAATGTTTGTTTCATTCCCCAGATTAGGGAAGTTCTCAGCTAAGATTTGTTCAAATATATCTTCCAGTCCTCTCTCTCTCTCCACCCCCTCTGGAATTCCAATAATTCTGACATTGGAACACTTCATGGTGTCACTTATTTCTCTGATTCTATTTTCATGGATTTTGAGTTGTTTTTCCTTGGTCTCCTCTTTTTCCTTCTTGTCTATTAATTGGTCTTCTAAATCACTAATTCGTTCTTCTGCCTCACTTACCCTAGCTGTATAATCTAACTTTTGCAGTCTTTTAGTCGAAGCGCTCTACTTTATAGAGGAAGAAATAAAGTCCCCAAAACTGATTTGCAAAATCAAACCAGCCATTGGCAGAGCTAGAAATGGAAATCAGGCCTGTTTTACCCCCGCCATGTTGTAAAAAAAAAAAAAAAAAAAAGTATTTATTTTGCAATATGTAAAGTTTCTGAAATTATTTACATGGTTATAATCAAAGAACTTTGGTTTCTCATGAAATGAGTGCTCATATAAACCTTATAGACAATTATAGACAGAAAGAAATGTGTTTTAAAGTGAACATTAAACAATGATGGTATTTTCCTTTTTTTTTAAATGTATGGGTTCTTTTCATTTCAAACAATTAAGTTAAATTTTGAGTAGAAGGAAATGATGAATGTAACCATCAGTAAGATGCTATTAGTGAAATGGTCTCTGTGTGGCAGTGAGCATGGCTCTACTACATTGTTAGGATCAAACATTATATTTAAATGAAAGAAATATACACAGCCTTAGTGTTCTATGTAACACCAATGCTGGCAGTGTGTAGTTATTTGAAAAATCAGATGTGACCTGAATTCTACGACATGGTCTGCATCAGTGCACATTTTGAGACAGCACGCTGCACTTCTGAGTTTGAGTTCAGCATTAATGAGATTAGACAGAAGAGAAAAGCCTCATCAATTTTTTCCTTTGGGGCCTCATTTTGGATTTGTATTTTCCCAGCTTCTCATTCATCTGTCTTCTGTGTCTGATCTCCCAAATTGTGTCACCATCCAGATTCTAGGTTATTTTTATTTAGTTCATATATTTCCAATTTTGCAGCCTACAGAGGTCATGATTTTCTTTAATAGCCAAATCACCTAATCTAAGCTGCTTTCTAGGTACCTCAGGGAATTATACTGATTTATCAAGACTTTTTTTCTCTGAGGACTTCTGAAAATCCTTGGTGAGTGCTTACATATTCCCTAAAGATCTCCTGTTTGTTTAAGACCACTATGCTCCTTTCTACTCTAGTTTAAAAGAATGTTAATAATTAACATGTGATCCTGTTCAGCTCACCAATTCAGGACATGGAAGAACTTTCCTAAGCTTTAACACTTGAGCTTGTATGGTGTCCCTCTGCAATTGCTTAAAGGTTTGTCCACTCAGATTTGGCCATCCTTCATTTTCATCACAGGCAGAACTAAGAGAACAGCACGGAATTTGCCTATAATCCTGTTCTTGACTCCTATCCCTATCCAGACCCCCAGACTCCAAACTTATTAGAGAAAAAGTCTCCAAGTTTGATTTTCTGTAACATCAGACATGACTACATTTTTGTAGGCAGCAGAGCTCAGTTCAAATTGTACTTTCTGCCATTCATATAACCATAGCATGAAAGGCCAATTATTGAATTCTTAAATGATACAGAAAATGAAGTGATCAAAACATTATTTGGGGTTATTGTTAAACTCCCTGACTAGAAATTCTGCTCCATATTATTGAACTTCCTCACAGGAAGGTATTGCTACACACACAGAAGGACAACATGAGAACATAGAATTAGGGTGCAGACAATTAAACACACCTGGTGATAATAAATTTGCTCTCAAGTAGCTCTAAGTAGCTTTTCTTCCTCTAGTCCCATTAATAGTTGATTTTCTGGTCAGGTGCACTATTGATCGATTTTCACTGAAGCCATTTCTTCCTCATTAGCTTTCCAAACTTTTCTTTGCCTCAATTTTCCTCAGATACAAAAGCCTCACAAGATTATAGAAGACTCGTTGCTTAGCAACAATCTCATTCCTATAACTGTAATGGTTCAGCACACAATGTCACCTTTTTGGGGGGAGAAGTGCAGTGTTTTCCTATTTCCAGTGTTATTCCATTTAATTATGAAAGTAAGGTGTTTAGTTATTGTTAATTATATCTTTCCTACATGAATGATTTCAGTTTTTGTAATTGTATGTAGCTGTGTTGAGACAAAATAACGCTTTCTATATCTCCTTTAAATATATCCAGAAACTTATTTCTGTTTGTAAAAAATACTAGCAAGAAAAATGCCTGTTCTGTTTTATTCTCAAAAACTCTTTTCACACTTGAAAAGAGAAATTTTGGCACTTCTTGTAGCAATAATAGCTATCTGGTATTATGTCCTCATGGATTGGGGAGTATAGTTTATAGATAAACAAATTTCCTGTAGTAAATTCCTGTAACAATAGAAAGTTACTTTTCATAAGTTCTCTGTTTTACACCCACATTTGTATACCATTTATACCATTTGTATGTGCTTGATGCAAAGTACCTTACCTATCTTTTGTTAAATATTTAAATATAATTTAAGGGTATGCATAAACATAACTATGTTTTGTGATGTGACAGTATATTTTTGTACAAAATCAAACACACAAAGGAGTGGGTTGTTGAAGTAAGGCAAAAAAAGATGGAAATAATATATGTAGCTGTCTTAAATAAATAAAACATTCTAGATTAGAAAATGCTGTACCTATCAGTGACAACAGACCAAAGTAGCTTGTCCATTCTCTTCCCAATGGTGAAATAAATGTCAAGGAACTTAAATTTGCAAAATTGGATTGATACCAATTTAGCATTATGAACCTCAACACAATTGACTAGAATGTATAACAATTTATAAACTGTTTTTTGTTTGTTTTTAATGGGGAGAGGACAGAAGTTTGATAAATAATTTAGGAGATAATCAATCATGAAAATATACTAAGTATCCTTTGTGTAGTATTTGGTGGGTGATTTCTACATGTGGAAATCTGGATTCCCCTAATGTGTTTTTAAAATTTTTCCCCTTTATCAATCCATTTACAGTTATTTATTTATTTACTTATTTGCATACTACAGTTACCAGGTGATAAAGGTTGTACATGCTTGTGCATTGAAATTGCTCTTGTCACTTGACTTCCCCTGTATGTTGAGGGAGAGAATTCTCTTGAATCAGTCCTCAGAGCTGATGAGGGAATGAGGCATAACCATTCTGATCATTCTTTTATTATTTATTCAAGTTAATGGAATATTGGAAAAGAAAGGGGACAAAATATGTCTTCCATAGCAATGTTTAACTAGAACCCCACATTCTTATTTTAGATATGAGGACTAGGTTTTCTCATCAACATCAAAAAGCCATTTATATTGAGATCTAAAGTTTAACCATATTTACATTTTTTTTAACATTCCTGTTACTAGATGACCAAGGGAGTATACTATTGGGTGTGGAAAGGAAATTGCTCTTGTCAGATGCCTTCCTTGTATGTTGTTTTGAGGAAATTCATTCGAACTATACCACAGAATGCATTGACAAAAAGCATGGTGTAGCTGATACCCTAAGCCTCTATATCTTGCTGAATGCCACTTACGAAGATTTTGGACATTTGATATGACAAGTGTGTTTTTTAGATTAGTTTGCTGTATTTATTGTATTAGTTTACTAGGGATTCTGTAAACAAAGTGGCACAAACTGGGTGACTTAAAACTGTAGAAATTTTTCTTTAGCAGTTCTGGAGACTGAAGTCCAAAATGAAGGTGTCAGTTGCATGGTGTGCTCTCCATAGTCTCTAGAGGAGGACTCTTTCTTGTCTCTTCTAGCTCCTAGTAGCCCCAAGTATTCCTTGGCTTATAGTAACATAACTCCACTCTCTGCCTCCATCTACACATCTTCCTGTGTCTTTCACTTCATATAACCATCTCATCATAATGATGCCCGTCATATTAAATCATTCTATTGTGACTTCACCTTAAGTAATTAAATCTGCAAAGACCCTCTGTCCAAATAAGGTCACATTCTGAGGTGCTGTGGGTTAGGATGTCAGTGTGTGTTTTTTGGAGGTCACAATTCAACCTATAACAGATGGGGATGTTCACAGACCTGGAAGAGGCCTAGGGCTGGAGAGTTTTGACCAAGGGTCCTTAGAACTGCCTCCAAGGAATGTAGGATGCAATATACAATTAAACTACTACATTTTTATTAAAAAAAAAAGATATTGTCACAAGTAAAAAAATGATCATTTTTAAAGTTAGGTGAGTACATGGGAACTTGCTGTATTTTTCTTTCTGATTGTGCATGTTTGAAAATTATAATAATAAAAATTAAAAGAATACACTTAACAAAGTATGATATATGTCTCTGAAGAGAGGAAGACAAAATCTATTGGTCATGTTTTTTCTAAAATTGACAATAATTCCTTAATATCACCAACTGTTTCGTCAAGGATCAAATGTCATCATTTTTTTAAACTGAGGTGTACAGTGTATCCATTTTGACAAATACGTGCTGTAGTGTAACTACCACCACTGTCAAGATATAGAATGATCTCATCACCCCCCAGATTGCCTTATGCTGACCCTTCGTGGTGAACTTCTGCACCACACCTCCAAGCCCCAGAATAGCAAGCAGCAGAAATCTATCTCTGCACCTATACAACAATTACACCAGGAGAAACTATATGATTTAACTACTTTGGAACTCTGGGGTCTGTTGAATGCTTTCAACCCTGAGCAGAAGGCTTGGACAGTAAATTGCAGTTAATTTTGTCAATTTCAGCTCTTAGCACAGTAGCAGCAACCCAGCCCATCCTGCAGCTCTTAACCCTCTTGTAGGTAGCTGTGTACCTACTACTGGAGCAGTTTTCACGCAGATTGAGAAAAGCATGCTAGGCAAAGAGGACCCAGATTTCCAGTTCAGAGAGCTGTGCTCTGATTGAGGCTCTTTAATCACAAAGGTGCAAGTGAGGAGACCTCAAGCCACTGTGGTTGCACTTTCCCCTATTTTTGCAAGCCCTTCCTCCTGTGGCTGAGATACTTCCTGGGGATTTAAAGGGCTGGTGTCTTTTCTTCCCATTTTTTCTTTTTTTTTTTCCTCTTGGGAGCCAGATTGAAGACTATGATATTCAAAAGCAACCACATGAATGTGGGAAATTAGAAGTCATTATGCATGCCAAGGACAAGTTGCAGGCTTAGAAAAGATCTGAAAATACCTTAAGGGATTGTCTAAGGGAGAATCCATTTCCTTATTTTTTTCAGCTTCTAGAGGCTGCTTGCATTCCTGACTGGTGGCCCCATCCTCCATCTTCAAAGCCAGAAACTAAGTATCTTCAAATCTTTGGCTCTTACACTGACTCTCCTACCTTCCTTTCTCATTTTTAAGGATTTTGTGATTATACTGGGCCCACCCAGATAATCCAGGATAATTTCCCCACCTCAATATGAGCTGATTAGCAATCTCAATTCTATGCAACTTTAATTTCCCCTCCTCACAGAACATTACATGTTGACAGGTTCTAGGGATTAGGATATGAGCATTTTTTTTTCTTTCTAAAGGGAGAGAACATTTTTCTGCCTTCCATACTGAAAAAAGCAAGGAAACAGATTTTTCTCCTAGAGCCTCCACAAGGAAATGCAGCCCTGCTAAAACCTTGCTTTTAGCCTGATGAGACATGCATCAGACTTTTAACCTGTATAACTGTAAGATAATAAATTCATATTTAAACTACCAAGTGTGTGACAATTTGTCATATCAGAAATAGAAAGTTAATATAGACATGGAGGGTAGAATTAATTCAATAATGTACATAACACCTGGAAGTGTGAATACTTTCTGATTTAATTTTATAAGACAACTTAAATTATTAAAAAAAATTAAAAAAACCAATAAGCTTTCTGTTATAAAAAAATTTTCAGGGTTTAATCTTAGAACAAATTGACAGAAACATAATAGAAGATTCTTCAAAAGAAGAAAAATGACAAAGATCTTGCCTGAGTTACTTCGGTATGTTGGGAAATTTAAACTAGAAGTTAGGAAATTTGGTTAGGAGAGATAGTTTATGCACTAATAAAAGAAATCTATGACTCAGATACTAACTGAAATATTAGTGCTGGCTTGTCACAGAGCTTTCAGTGTTCTCTTATTCAGGGAGTTTTTAGAAAATTTTAATTTATTCATTTTAAATAATTTTTCTATTGTCAGGTTACACATTTTTCTTTACAAAATATTGGCAACAGATCACCATTATCACCATTGTTAATATCTTTATTATAATGTTATAGACAGTTGTGAAATTTAACTGAATGTCTCATATGATCATTTAATCTCTTGCATTTCAATTTCTTTATCTATAAACTGAAATAGGATCCTTCATTTTTCAGCTCTAGTGTTCTTTGCATGCAGGAATGAGTTTTACATTTTGCATTTGTTTGTCAGCATACAGACTAATTTATATGTTTAGTGATGAATATACTCAATTTGCAGATCTCACTTGGAAGATTGTTCTTTAAAATTGTCATTAATATAGTAAACATAGTAATAAATTATATCCCTGTATGTCAATCCTAAGCAGAGCTATTAGGGTGAACAAAAACAGACCACTTTATCTTCATGTAGACACAATCTACTTTCTTATTTTATAGTCTTTATTTCTGGAACATTTTTAAATTTTCATAAAGTGTTCCAGATCATCAAATTAGTCTAATTTATAGAAACTGGATATTCAACTCAGATAGTGGGACTATAGGCCCAGTTTTCCTCCTTTTCTCACCCTATTTCTGAGTAAAGATGTTTCTTCTTCATTTACTGGTATAAATGTTATAATTTTATTACAGTATTTATTATACCCACACACATTTTTTATGTTCAGCATGCTTTTATTGAATGCTATTTGATAGCTATAAATGTTATCTTTTTTTGTACTTTTATTAAATTAAAATATTCTTATGTGAAGAACAAATGCAGATAGGTAACACAAGAAAAAAATTAGAATCACGAGAATTGAAAATTTATGTTTTATTTTTAAAGAAGAGGATAAACAAATGATTGCCTTAACCATTGCATCTAACTGGTACCCTAAGAGATTTAGGCTGAATAACTTATGCACTCATATTTCCAGGAATAAATAAGGGATAAATAGATAAATTGATGGATAGATAAATGAGTGATTGGATGAATCACAAATTTATAGATTTACTGAGTCTTTGCCAATTAAATATGCATTTATTTTCTAAATTCCACATTAGAGGGACACCTGGGTGTCTCAGTCGGTTTAGTGTCTGCCTTCGGCTCGGGTCATGATCCCAGGGTCCTGGGCTTGAGCCCCACATTGGGCTTCCTGCTCAGTGGGAAGACTGCTTCTCCCTCTCCCTCTGCAGCTCCCCTGCTTGTGCTTTCTCTCTGTCAAATAAATAAATAAATAATCTTTAAAAAAATAAAAATAAAATAAATTCCACATTAGAGGCTCACACTTTTAAAAAATTGCACAATGGCATATACCCCCAGTCTATTCCTAGTACAAGAATTTTGTAAGATTTCAAAATTGATTTTCTCATATTGGCTATATCTAGACAGTTTACATATGTAACTATATTTCATCTAGAAAACATTTATTTTGAGGTCAATAATACCATAATTTGTATTTACTTTATCTTACCTGTTTACTTCCTGTGGATATAAAAAGCATATAGAAATATTCATAAAACTTATAAAATCTGAGAGTTTATTAATAGTACATTAATATATGTAGACATTAGTTATCCTGCCAGTATACTTTGGAGTATTTAGAATTCTTCTGGGTAATTTGTTTTCCTAAAAATATATAGCTCAAAAATTCATACCGTTAATGTATTGAACTTTTCATTGTCACTTTAAAAATAAATACTCTATAGACATTGAAATTAGGAAAATTTCAAAGTAGAGCCATTAAAATACTTTCAAAAGTCATTAAGGTATTTCCTCATTGAACATCTTCTACAATGATTTTGAATTATGGATCAGAATAATAACCATCATTGAATAAATATCGAATTTCCATTATGCACAAAAGACTCTTTCATTCAGGGTTGGAGAACTTGATGTTCACACCCAGAAACTTACTCTCTAATGAAATGTGCGAACCTAACCCACAAAAGTTCAGTGAAGAAGAATGTAATTATGTGTTTTTAAAGTATTAAGTCAGAAGCATCTGATGGCTTTTAAGAAAGCAATGGGACTTTGACTCTTGAAAGTGAGAAAGCATTAGGAAAGATAAATAATAAAAGCATGTAAAGTCTCAAAAGCAAAAATAAGCAAGAATATGGTGAGCTTTGTAGGCTTAGGGTAATTTAGAGATCTGCTTCATCAAAGGGAATCATGTATTTTGGAAGTTAAGGCAAAATAATTTTGGGTTGCCTTATGAAGGGTTCTGAAAGTGAGAAAACAACACATTTTTGTAGTGTTTGGGATGCATTGTTTTATTGAGTGACCTGACTTTAGAAAAGGCAAATATACTATTAACATATGATATTAATATTATGTTATTCTATCAATATTAACTAACAATTTAATATTTAATATTAATGTCATTACATGTTAATATGTAATTTTCATTTTTCCACAACCATAAATTCAAATGTTACC